GAAGAAGAATGATGATGATGATGATGATGATGATGATGATGATGATGATGATGATGATGATGATGATGATGATGATGATGATATACACGTAAACGTTATAACAATAGTAAATTATGATGCTAGTGCAAAAATAGTGACAGGTGTTATAACAATAATAATATAATGGTAATGGTATGATAATACAATATTAGTAAAAAGAAGGGGAAACCGATCAATACCAACAACACTGATAAGGAAAAAAAGAGGTAGTTATTGTATCGATAATGAATCCAACAAAAAAAAGTGTAATATTCATGGTGGTGACAATAATGATTCATTGTTTTAAATACACCTAGATCTAAGTACTCGCCTGAATTTTTTTTCCAAGTCTACGTTAATCATGATGATGATGATGATGATGATGATGATGATGATGATGATGATGATGATGATGATGATGATGATGATGATGATGATGATGATGATGATGCCTGTTCTGATTATTTGGAAGTTTGGTGACAATACGAAAAAGAATAACGACAAAAAAGTGATGATGATGATGATGATGATGATGATGATGATGATGATGATGATGATGATAATGATGATGATGATGATGATGATGATGATGATGATGGTGATGATGATGATGATAACCTTACTGATGTTATCATCTTTATATTGATATAAGCTTGCTGATGTTATCTTTTATGTGCACTTAATGTTTCTGATGTTATCGTCTATATATTTATATATTGCGCTTGCTGTTGCTGTCTTCTATATTCACATACTGTTGCTGATGTTATCGTCTTTATCCACTTAATAATGTTGCTGATGTTATCATTTACCTTCACATAGCCTTACAAATAGTATATTCTATATTCACATAATATTTCGGATTTCATTGTTTATATCCACTTAAAGTTGCTGATGTTATATTCTATATTCCTATACTGTTGCTGATGTTTTTGTCTATTTTAAGATAATGTTGATGATGGATGTTATCGTCTATATTCACATAATGTTGCTCATTTATCTGTTATATTTCCAAAAATGTTGCCGATTTTATTGTCTATATTCACATATTGTTGCTCAAGTTATCTTTTATATTCATAAAATGTTGCCAATTTTGTTGTTATATTCACAATATATTCGATATTCACATAATGTTGCTGGCTTTTCCTCGATATTGGCCCTCATAGCTGTTATCTGTTGAAAATGCCAAAAGAGAAAACAAATTACTATGTGACAAAAAAAAGCCAGTGAATGCGTGAGCAAGCCAATAATAAATTAAGTAAGTGAGCGAGAGTGTGAGTAACGGATAATTGGACTTAATTTTTGTTTAGCTGGAATGAGTACAAAAGGATTATACTTCATAAATTCTAAATCTCCCCATCAAAGACACAAAAAGATAATAAGAGCTATTTCTCAATTTGACATAAAATTGAGAGAGGGAGTCTGTTGTATGCTATATGTCAGCTCATGTAAATGTTAGACTAAAGGAAGCAAATCTTTGGCTTAATTTGTTGTACATGAATAAATTAACACAAACACTCAC